AGGAACTCGCTCGCTCTGTCCGCAGCCGAGCCACCGTCCTGACAGGCTCCGACTGCGGCCGCTCTCGCCTCGGGGTGCACCGCAACGGCCTGGCTGGCTCGCCGCCCCAAGGAGCTCTCTGCACCGCCGCCGCCGTCACCGCCGTCACGCCAACTGCGCCCATCACCGCGGCGGCGGCGGCGGTGGCGGCGGCTTGAGGCGAACGGAGACGGAGGTCGCGCCCCACCGTCGCGCGGCGCTTCTGGGAACGCGCTTCTGCGGCCCGTCTGGAACGCTGTTTTCTTCCGATATTAGGAAGCCGTTGGGAGCTATGATGCACTTTTAAATTATCATCATCTCGATCAGTGGTTCTTACCGTGGGGTGCACGCTATCCCTTGGGGGTGCGAAATGCCCTCTCTGGGGTTGTGCGAGACGTGGCCAGATTTGTGTTAGAAGGGAAATTATCAAAACAAATTTAGCATGGGCACATAAGTACAATTTGTTTCATCAAACCCTATGTGTTAATTAACATTTTTAAAAATACGATTGAGGTGGTGATGGTGGTGATGGTGGAGGTGGGGGTGGTGGTGATGGTAGTGATGGTGGCGGTGGTGATGGCGGTGGTTGTGGCGCAGTGGTTGGCACGCTGCGTTATGAACCCAGCCAGTCGAGTTCGATTCCCGTTCACCAACACCTAGGTCGACTCGGCCTCAAATGAGTACCTGGTGCGGTGTGTAAACATCGCCAGTGGGGAGACAAAGGCGGCCGGGCGTGGTGCCGGCCACCCACCCCCTCGCTAACGGCACTTGCCCCAACAGTTAAGGCTACACGGGGCAACATCTTTGTCTTCGGTGGCAGCGGTGGTTTAGGACTTGCTGGAGGGAGGCGGAGACACGCGCAGGGACATTGCGACTCGCTTCGTGATCATCCGACGCAGAGACGCGGAGAGATTCACCGGGGCGACGGCTGGGCTCGAACCTCGGCGACGAACTCGTATCTGCTCAACCACGTGATTCGGAGAGCCTCTAACCCCCACCATAAGAACGTATAATGTCTTCCCACCGGGCCGGGACTTCCAACGCAGCTCAGCATTGCCCAACGCAGCTCAGCATTGCCCAACGCAAGTTTGATTGGAGACACAAGTTAACTTCCCGGGCTGCAGCACGCAAACTTCCACCTGATCTGTTTCCCTTAATTCATTAAAAGCATTTCCATTGTGGTTTTTTTAATGCATTAGATTAAGCAACGGACACGTAAGTTCATGAACGCGCATTTATGATGCCGGAATAAATCGTGCCCCGTTGCCATGTTTTATGCACCGCATAGCTTCCCGTTAAACTGGGACGCAAACGCCAGCATAAAAACACCGAATGTCAACAGTTTTTGCTGCTGTTGAACCAATGGCTCGAGCAAAGCCTGGCTTGCTGATGAGGCACTTGGATGTCGAAACTGGCCCAGAGGAGGAGGAACAGCCAAACGACGCGAGCTCTCTGCTGAAGCGCTTTCAGCGTTGATAGCAGCACGACCTCCACAGTCGGATGTGGAGATCCTGAAGAAGAACAACATTGCTGCCATCACACGCAACAAATGTATAGATTCAGAATCGGAGTATTTCTTTATCCAGGAGGAATCCGGTGAGCTATGAAGCTCTTTTTCACAGATGTCCAGTAGGGGCGTTTCAGCAAGTTGCAATAATAGAATGGGCCTGTGCATGGAAATACAATAATGAAAACGTTATGGGCTTATGTTGAATTAGTTTAGCTGCGCCCATTAAAATCATTGTGGATTAAAATGTTATTTTTTTATGTATAGACGGGGGTAAACATTGTTAAACTTTGATGCGCATGTGCCAAAGGCACGCACGTGCGCGCGCATGCAGTTTGCGGCATCACAGTTGGGACGCGTTGCTGCAAACATTACGGTCACTTAGGATCCATCTGCGAGCTCTTAAAATTTTAAATACTGCGGCTAAAAATATGGCGAGGCCTTAAGGTTGTACCGAGTTAAAGAAAGCGTGACGTGATGTGGGTGAACGAATTCATGGGGAAATGTTGAGATGTGGGTCCCTGCACTACAGCTCCTGTCAACCTGCACTACAACTCCTGTCACTCTGCACTACAGCTCCTGTCACCCTGCACCACAGCTCCTGTCACCCTGCACTACAGCCCCTGTCAACCTGCACTACAGCTCCTGTCACCCTGCACTACAGCCCCTGTCACCCTGCACTACAGCTCCTGTCACCCTGCACTACAGCTCCTGTCACCCTGCACTACAGCCCCTGTCACCCTGCACTACAGCCCCTGTCACCCTGCACTACAGCCCCTGTCACCCTGCACTACAGCCCCTGTCACCCTGCACTACAGCTGTCACCCTGCACTACAGCTCCTGTCAACCTGCACTACAGCTCCTGTCACCCTGCACCACAGCTCCTGTCACCCTGCACTATAGCTCCTGTCACCCTGCACTACAGCTCCTGTCACCCTGCACTACAGCTGTCACCCTGCACTACAGCTCCTGTCACCCTGCACTACAGCCCCTGTCACCCTGCACCCCTTTGGTTGCAAGATGGCCGCCTGAGGCACGTGCTCCCGGGCCGCGCTCCCAGCAGCGGCTGGCGGAGGCCGTTTGTGAGGGGCCGAGGGAGCCCACGGAGCCGGGGGGGGGGGGGGCGACGGCACGAACAGAGGGAGCCGACACTGACTCACATCATACACTGACTCACATCATACACTGACTCACACCATACACTGACTCGCATCATGCACTGACTCACATCAAACACTGACTCACATCATACACTGACTCACACCATACACTGACTCGCATCATGCACTGACTCACATCAAACACTGACTCACATCATACACTGACTCACATCATACACTGACTCACACCATACACTGACTCGCATCATGCACTGACTCACATCAAACACTGACTCACATCATACACTGACTCACATCATACACTGACTCACATCATACACTGACTCACACCATACACTGACTCGCATCATGCACTGACTCACATCAAACACTGACTCACATCATACACTGATTCACATCATACACTGACTCACATCATGCACTGACTCACACCATACACTGACTCGCATCATGCACTGACTCACATCAAACACTGACTCACATCATGCACTGACTCACACCATACACTGACTCACATCATGCACTGACTCACATCAAACACTGACTCACATCAAACACTGACTCACATCATACACTGACTCACACATCATGCACTGACTCACACACCATGCACTGACTCGCACACCATGCACTGACTCGCACATCATGCACTGACTCACACATCATGTACTGACTCACACACCATGCACTGACTCACTCACACATCATACACTGACTCGCTCACATCATGCACTGACTCACATCATACACTCGCACAACCACTGACCCACTTATCATGCGCTGACTAACACATCATGCGCTGACTCACACATACACTCACTCAACCTAATACTGACTCAATTATCATACGCTGACTCGCACATCATACACTCACGCTACTACTGACTCACATCATACACTTGACTCACATACACTCACGCTGCTGCTGACTCACTCACACATCATACACTGACTCACACATCATACACTGACTCGCTCATCATACACTGACTCACACATCATACGCTGACTCGCACATCATACACTCACGCTACTACTGACTCACAGATCATACACTGACTCACTCATACACTAACACCATACGCTGACTCGCACATCATACACTCACTCACGCTACTACTGACTCACACATCATACACTCGCTCACACATCATACACTGACTCGCACATCATACACTCACCCTGCTGCTGACTCACTCATCATACACTGACTCACTCATCATACGCTGACTCACTCATCGTGCGCTGACTCACACATCATACACTGACTCGCACATCATACACTCACGCTACTACTGACTCACACATCATACACTGACTCACTCATCATACACTGACTCACACATCATACGCTGACTCGCACATCATACACTCACGCTACTACTGACTCACACATCATACACTAGCTCACACATCATACACTGACTCACTCATCATACACTGACTCACATATACGCTGACTCGCACATCATACACTCACGCTGCTGACTCACTCATCATACACTGACTCATACGCTGACTCACTCATCGTGCGCTGACACACATCATACACTGACTCACACATCATACACTCACGCTACTGCTGACTCACTCACACATCATACACTGGGAGTGTCGTGCTGCCAGCTATGGCTGCAGGTTTTGTCGTGCGTGTTATGTATATCGTTTATTGTAAAATTTACGTGTTAAAGCCTACGTGTTAAACTGTTGTTACATTGTTTTTATAGCTTTATTTTGGTGATTCGAAAACATGGTAAATCTAAATTGTCTTATGGTTGTTGTTGGCTTGCACCACATTGTGATTTTTGCACACAGCGTTTATTTAGTTTTTTTTGTGTGTGGAATATTTGCTGGTTTATTCCAGGATGTTTCTGTTACGCGTCGTCGCTTTAAGATGTTCTGTGTTCATATTGTGTTTGTTGCGGTTGCACCCGACTTAAGAGCCGCATGGCTCACAGGGCTATACCTAATAAATGAAACTTGGTGAACTAACGTGCATGATGACGTCATCCTGAACGTCCTGCGGTCTTTTATGACGGATTCTGGCTTAGCAATCATTGGAAGGATTTGATGATACACCATTTCGGGTCTTAATTGATTGTTCACGCTCAAGGTGGCTTTCAGACCACATCCATTATTTTCGTCTCCCCCCCTCCTCTTTTCCGAACATAGATGGACTCGTCCATCGCTCTCCGTGGTGCTAACGTTAAACAAAAAACGCCACTTCTTTTTCAAATTGTCTTGCTGTGATTTTCACACCTGATGATGATTGCTTGTGTTGCAGTAGAATCGTCGTGAGAATTTTATAGTTTTATATTTTTATTTCATTGTTTCCCTTCTACGTGACTTTACCGAAAGAGCCAAGAATATGGGAGGGGGGTGGTTGATGTGCGCGCGATGACGTCATCAGCACCGCAGACGGTCGCGCGACCTGCGTCTGACGTCACCACGCACGCCGCACAACGCAGACTCGGCGGCGCGACGTCATCGCGTAGCCCCTCCCCCTCCCATAGCAACAAGAAAGATGGAGCGGGCGGGCCGTGATGGCGGCGGCGTGGACATTGACAGCGGCGCTCACGGCTTCTGCTTCAGCTGCTGCTGCGGCTGCTGCGGGGACTCTCAGGGCGGCTCGCAAGCAGCGCGCACCCCCGAGGAGCTCGCGGAGCTGTGCGACGACGAGGAGGAGGAGGAGGCGGCGGCGAGCGGCTACGGTGACGGCGGTCGCGTGCGCGGAGGCGCCGCCGTTGGGAGCCTGGAGCGGCGGGACCCGTGGCCCAGCGCCCTGCAGGCCGAGCACGAGGAGCGTGACGACGAGGCGGGTGACGACGACGACGACGAGGAGGAGGAGGACGAAGGGGAGGACGAGGGGCTGACGAAGGGCAGGCCGCGGGGCAGCGGCGGCAGCAGCGGCAGCAGGAGACGGCGGCGCCTGTACCGCGCGTGGCTCACGCGGGCCGCTCACGGCCTCTCCTTCCTGCTGCTGGGCGTCGCCGTCGCTGCGGCCGCCCTGCTGCTCGTCTGGCTCCCCGCGCGCCTCGCCTGGGCCCTGCCCGCCGCCGCACTCGACGGCGCCCTGCGCTGGAGCGAGGAGCGCCGAGCCCTCGCGCTGCTGCTGCTGCTGGGCGCCGCGGTGCGGGGCGCCCTGGCGCTGGGCGCGGCCCTCGCGGGCGCGGCCGTCGGCTCTGGGCAGCAGGGGGAGGAGGAGGAGGCGGCGTGGCTGCTGAGGGACGGGGTCCGAGATGCAGCCGCGTGGACGCGCGGTGCCGTGGCGGTCAGAGGGCTCGGAGCGGCGTGCGCGGCTGCCGGGGGCCTCGTGGTGCGTCTTGGTGGTGGTAGTGGGGAGGAGGAGGAGGGGTGGAAACAACAGCGCCACTGGGGAGACAAAGGTGGCCGGGCGTGGTGCTGGCCACCCACCCCCTCGTGTGCCGTGCCGGCCTTCGTAGCTGCTGCTGCTGCTTGCTAGCGGCACTTGGCCCCAACACGTTCTTAGCAGCCAAATACTCGGGATCGAACCCACGGCCTCCTGTATACCCGGCGAGATTGTTGTCTCTGACGCTGATAGCATAGATGGAAGAAAGTTATTTTCTTTTCATTTATATTTTTGCAATCCTGCACATCCCGGCATTAGTCGTTTCCACTTTCCTCTCTGTCTTGTGCCATTGTGGTCACGTGGTGGTCACGTGGTGGTCACTTCTCTCTGTCTTGTGCCATTGTGGTCGCGAGGTGGTCACGTGGTGGTCACTTCTCTGTCTTGTGCAAATGTGATCACGTGGTGGTCACTTCTCTCTGTCTTGTGCAAATGTGATCACGTGGTGGTCACTTCTCTCTGTCTTGTGGTGCCAATGTGATCACGTGGTGGTCACTTCTCTCTGTCGTGTGCCAATGTGATCACGTGGTGGTCACTTATCTCTGTCTTGTGGCGCCAATGTGATCACGTGATGTCAATATGATCACGTGGTGTCTACGTCTCTCTGTCTTGTGGTGCAAATGTGATCACGTGGTGTCTACGGCTCTGTCTTGTGGTGCCAATGTGATCACGTGGTGGCCACTTCTCTCTGTCTTGTGGTGCCAATGTGATCACGTGGTGTCTACGTCTCTCTGTCTTGTGGTGCCAATGTGATCACGTGGTGTCTACGTCTCTGTCTTGTGGTGCCAATGTGATCACGTGGTGGCCACTTCTCTCTGTCTTGTGGTACCAATATGATCACGTGGTGTCTACGTCTCTCTGTCTTGTGGTGCCAATGTGATCACGTGGTGTCTACGTCTCTGTCTTGTAGTGCCAATGTGATCACGTGGTGTCTACGTCTCTCTGTCTTGTGGTGCCAATGTGATCACGTGGTGGCCACTTCTCTCTGTCTTGTAGTGCCAATGTGATCACGTGGTGTCTACGTCTCTCTGCCTTGTGCCAATGTGATCACGTGGTGTCTACGTCTCTCTGTCTTGTAGTGCCAATGTGATCACGTGGTGTCTACGTCTCTCTGCCTTGTGGTGCCAATGTGATCACGTGGTGTCTACGTCTCTGTCTTGTCGTGCCAATGTAGTCACGTGGTGGCCACTTCTCTCTGTCTTGTGGTGCCAATGTGATCACGTGGTGTCTACGTCTCTCTGTCTTGTGGTGCCAATGTGATCACGTGGTGTCTACGTCTCTCTGTCTTGTGGTGCCAATGTGATCACGTGGTGGCCACTTCTCTCTGGCACCAATCTCTCACGACGGCATCCTACTCAGGACAATCTCTCTTCGGTCTTCCTCTCTTTCCGCTTCCGTTTGTCCCGAACAACAACAACAACACTTTTACTGTTCCTGTTGGTGTCCATCCCACTACAAACGTGTGTCCACATAGTGCCCAGTTGCATTCTCACCACTGCCCTGCATCATCATCATCATCAGGTCTTCTTCTTTGACATGCAACATTTTCCCTGCTTCTACATTGGTCACTCACTCCTTTGGGTCCAGCTTAGATAGCAGCAGCAGCATTCTCCAGCAGCGATACATTTCGAGTGCAAATGTCTGACATCTCTGTCAGTCTTTTTCAATGTCAAAATCTAAGCAGCAGGAGTCATAAATGACACCAACGACGCGGTCTATCGTAGTCTTTAATCTTTGCACGGCCACTGATAACAATGCTGATGTGTAACGTGCACAGTTTCACTTTCCCAAATGCAGCGACCCAGAGATTCTGCAGAGCAACAACTACAATGCACATTAAAATAACGAGAAGACATACCGCGTCAGGAGCAGTAGCGGAGTGAGTGCATCGCTGTGAAGATGTCTCCGTATTTGTGGATTGGTTCTTGCATTACGTTGTACTCCGGTCTCTGTTCTGGATGACCACGGTCGCACACCGCTACTGGATAGAGTTTTTTAATTTGTGCATCAGGTATCATCTGCTGCTGATGCCTTGCTCTGCGCAGCGGGATGCAGTTTAGGGTGGACCGTGAGCTTCGTGGGTTCTGATGTTTGCGAGGTCGCTTGAACTCCGATCACCTCTCCCTGTTCCTAATCAACCTCCGTGACGAATCCCCCTTGGGCAGGTGGGCATCGAAGCCCCCATGCTGCACGTGGGGACGGCGCTGGGTCTGTGGCTGCCCTCTCTGCTCTGCCCGGCGCTGTCCCGCGCCGGCCTGCGCCCGGCGGCCCTCTGCACGGCGCGCGGGCGCCGCTGCCTCGCGGCCGCCGGCTCGGCCGCCGGCATGGCGCTGGCCTTCGGCGCTCCCCTCGCCGGCGCCGTCTTCGGCCTCCAGAACGCGGGGCCCGGCGCCCTGGCCGACCCGGGCGTCGCCTTCCCGGTTCTGCTCAGCTCCGTCGCCGCCTCCCTCGCCTTCTCGGCGCTCTCCTCCGCCGCGCTGACGCTGTCCGGCGCCGGCGGCGCCGGCTCTCCTCCGTGGCCCGTGGGAATGCTCGACCTGGCCGGCGAATCTGGCGGGCGTCCCGCGGGCGGCGCCGACCCCTGGGCGCTGCTGCTGGCGACGATGGCGCTGGGCGTGGTGGGCGGAGTCCACGCGGCCGGGCACCGGCGCCTGCGGGCGCGGCTGTCCCGCTACCGCGCGCGCCACGTCTTCGCCAAGCCGCCGTGCGCCGGCGCCCTCGAGGCGCTGCTCGTCTCGCTCGCCGGGAGCTGCGCCGCCTTCCTCGCCGCCGCCACCCTCGGCTCGTGCCGCGCCGGAGGCGCCGCGGGCAACGTGACGACGGCGAGTCCCCGCGATCCGCGCGTCCTCCTGCCGTCGCTGCTCTGTCCCAACGGCACCGCCAACGACCTCGCGCAGCTGCTGCTGTCGGCGCCCGAAGCGGCGCTCGGCGGCCTCCTGGGACCTGGCGCGGCGCCGTCGCCGCGCTCGCTGCTGCTGGCGCTGGGCTGCGTCGCGCCGCTCTCGCTCTGGGCCTCGGGGCTGCGGGCACCCGGCGGCGTCTTCGCCCCGCAGCTGCTGGTGGGCGCCGTCTACGGCCGCCTGGCCGCGTGGCTCCTTCGGCGCTGGCAGCCACGGCGGTGGCCGCCTCCGCGGCGGGACAAGCTGGCGCTGGTGGGGGCGGCGGCCGTGCTGGGCGGCGTGGTGCGCTGGCCCCCGGTGCTGGCGCTCGCGCTGGCGGAGGCGAGCGGCGCGGACGCGGAGGGCTCTGCGGCCGCGCTGCTGGCGCTGCTGCTGTCGGGCTGGCTGGCCGGCGCGTGGTCGCGGGAGCCGGCGCGCGCCGCCGCGGCGCTGCGCGGCCTCCCGCTGCTCCCCGCCGACTCGGTCGAGCCGCTGCCGCCGCCGGCGCCGGGCCAGCGTTGCCTGCGCCTGCTGCTCGCGTGCGACGTGATGGAGCCCGAGCTGGTGTACGTGTACCCACACACGCGCGTCCAGTCGCTGGTGAGCGTGCTGCGCGCGCGCCGCCACCACGCCTTCCCTGTCGTCACCGAGGCCGCCGGCGCCGGCCACGGCGGCGCCGGCGCCGGCAACGCGGCGCTGCTGGCTGCGAACGGCGCGTTCCACCGCGCCGCGCTGGCCGTGACGCGCGCAAACGAGTACCGGCGCCGCAGCCGCTCGATGCGCTCGTACCCGTCGGCCGAGCTGCAGCGGGCGCCGGGCGCCGGGCGTGCCGGCGCGCCGGAGCGGCGCCGGCACGCCGGCGGCGGCGACGACGGCGGCGACGACGACGGCGAGGGGGGGGAGCCGTCGCCCGCTTGCGAGTACCTCGCCAGCGTCCTGCGACCGGGGGTGGAACCGTACCCGAACCTGCAGCCGGGCTGGGCGAGCGGGGACGCCGGCGACCCCGGCCGAGCGGCGGACGCGGGCCTCCCCGGCGAGTGGACGCTGGCCCAGCGCCTGCGGCCGCTCACCTACCACGGCATGGTGTCGCGCTCGCGCCTCGCGGCCCTGCTGGCGCGAGGCGCGTGGCACGAGGAGGGGCGGGCGCCGGCGCGGCAGCCGCGCGTGGGAGCGGCGACGCTGGCGGAGGCGGAGCGGCGCGGCCTGGACGTGGGAGACCTGGAGCTGGCGCTGCTGGAGCCGCGCGCCGTCGTGGACGTGACGCCGTACGTGGACGCCGGCGCCCCCGCGGTGAACGCCCGCGCCAGCGCCGGCGAGGCCCTGCGCGTCATGGTGGCGCTGCAGGCGCGCCAGCTCGCCGTGCTCAACGCGGCGGGCCACGTGGTGGGCGTGGTGACGCGCCACGAGCTGACGCCCGAGGCGCTGCGGCGCAGCCTGCGGCGCAAGCGCATGGCGCGCCCGTGAAGGAGGAGGCGGCGCCCCCGCAAACCTCTCGACCCCCACCCCCCCCCCCCTCACCGTGAGACGAACTTTGAACCCGTCCTTGAGAAGCTGCCGCCCACCCTCCTCGAGACATGTTGAGAATCGTCGTCAGAATCTTTATTTGTTCCGGAGGAATCCGACGAGCCATGAAGCACGGTTATTCGGATGGCCACGTGACCTCGTATGTCGTCTGCACAGACGTTAGGATGCCACATGACGTCCTGTCACGTGTATGTACGTGTGTATGTTGAACTTATTTTGCGCCGTACGTAGGCAACCGTGCGAATAATCGAAGGTGCGGAGGAAAGGACAACAAACTTGGCGCAAAGAACAGTTCTCAAGAGGTGAGCTTGTCAGTCTAGATGATGATTTCAAAGTGCGTGAAAGCTCCCAGTGGCTTCCTAATATCGGAAGGAGGAGCGTTCCAGACTGCGGAACAGAAGCGCGCGTTAGTTCGGACGTTGTGATGTCATGTTGTGATGTCATGTTGTGATGTCATGTTGTGATGTCATGTGACGCCCGTGCACGCGATGCGACTGCTCGTTCCCTCCCCCAACACTCAAATGTGACCCACGGCAGCCATCGCGCGGCCGACGAGGCATCCAAACAGGCGACGCCGTGTACCGTCCCGTGTACTGTATACTGTCCCGTGTACCATGTACTGTACCGTGTACCATGTACTGTCCCGTGTACCGTTTACCGTGTACCGTTTACCGTGTACCATCCGCTGTCGCCGATTGCGTAGTTTCGTTAACTCACTTATTTATTTATTTCCACGTAAGGGCCGGTTGTGTGCAACAGTGAGCGGCGCAGAGATAACGCCGTGCAGGGAGGAGGGAGAGCTCATTGCCTACACATAGATCCCCAGGGTGTGCGGGTGACTGGAAAGCGATCGGCGGCGGTTTTGGGATGGTTTTGGGGACGTTTTAGAATTTTTACTTGAAAAACTGAGTTTGCGGATCTACAGGGTTGGTGGTCCAGATGTCTCGTGACCCCCCCCCCCCCACCGCCAATTATTTGATCCCTAACATTTTCTCAAAAGTTATTAAGTTTTAGAGAATTAAATGTGGGGGGTGGGGGGTCACAAGACATCTGGACCAACCCTGTTGCACATCGGTTGTGGCGACGTGATGCGTCCGCTACTCCAAAGCTACCTTACGCCAGTATCTCAACCGCCACCACCACCGCCGCCTCCTCCTCCTCTTTTAAATCTCTCTCTCTCAACTTGTAAAAAGGGGGTGGTATGAGGGTGTTGTCGGACAACTCACGAGGTGCCCTTGACGCGCGGGAGGGAACCCAACCTCCTCGTGTGCTAGGTGCGGGGGGCGAGGGGTGGGGGGCGAGGGGTGGGGGGCGAGGGGTGGGGCTCAACGCTCCTCCCGTGTGCATGCACGGGAACCGTTAAGGGGGCTCCGCGTGCTACTGTGGGACCTTCTCCTCCTCCTCCTCCTCCGGCCGCGCGAGCCGAGGCTTGCGGCATCCTCCTTGTGCTGTCCGCCGACCGCCCGATGCCAACGAGGCGCTGGGGCTCACGGGCGTGGGCTGTCTCCTCCCCCCACCGCCCCTCACCCCACCCACCGCCTTGCCTGCTGCGGGAATGCCGCCTACACCAAAATGTACGAGCGAATGACTTGGGCGTGGTGACGTTTATATATTTATTTACTTACTTTTATTTCATTCCTGCCATTTTCGCTGCCCTCTTTGACTAAAGCCATTTGAATTCTTCACTTTTAGCGAACAAAAAAAAAATCGATGGCCGTGTAAACAACGCCCCTCGGAAGTTATTCCTCGAATTTATTTTCTTACTGATCGTTTGCACTTGTTTTTCCGCTGCCGGATGGTATTATTCCACCAAATGAAAAAAAATTGCGGCATCACCCCACCCCCCTCCCCCGCCACCACTCGCACAACCTTGAAGTCGAGCAGTGACAATGCCATGTTGACCTGGCTGCCAGGGCCCAGTCGGTTATCCAGGGGGTGCAAAGAGTGGCTCCGTGTTGTTTTTGGCTACCGCGGACAAACGAAAATGATGATCAAATTTTGTGTTCCTGAGCTGTGTCGAGCTCTTTTTCAGAAGCGACCTGGCTATCACAAATGATAGGTGAACGAAGCGGCTTGTGTGGAAATGTATAGCAGCCAAATACTCTAAATGCATGTTTCTAAATGTGGTGGCGAAAACCGGACAACCCGGAGAAAATTCCACGCGACCACGGGGAGAGAGAGAGAGACACCGCAAACTCGAAACATACAGCAGGCGTCAGGGTCAGGATCTAACCCATGACCTCCTGCATACCTGGCAAAGTAGTGAACATCTCCTAGCCACCGTGGCACAGACTTTGATGATGGCGGTGGGATGTCAACTCTCAACCTTTGGAGTTGCGAGCGGAGCGCTCTGTGCATCATCATCAGCGTTTAAGAGTTGCGCCCGTTTTGAGTAACGCTACGAACGCTGAGGTGGACAAAAAAAAACCGTGCAGGTTCAACGCTACCTGGCGGAACCGCTGACGCCGGACTCTACTTGATGGAGCTGCGATCGGCTCACGTTTTGGTTGTTGCCAAGCCGGCTTGACGATGAGGCCGACCGCTGTGACGACAAAGACGACAAAGACGACAACAGCGACAACAATAATCAACGCTCGGGTTCTGTTGGTGTCCGTGACCTAACGAAGGCACCCTCGTCGAAGCAGCAGCGTCCGCTCTCGCCCTCCACCGGAACCGCGGCCGGAACGAGGAGAGCGCGGACAAGACTCTACGTTTGCAATTCAAATGTAGAGCAATTAAGTTAGCCGATGCATGTTTTGTGCCAGAAATTCTAATGTATACACAGGAAGGCATTCCCCGACTTATGAACACCCCCCGACTTACGAACGGTCTTCCGCAAGATATTTATTTATTTAACCACCCGACTTTTGCGAACTTGAACTCGCGAACCGAAACCGCGGAATTCTTTCCGGCGTCGCATTCTTATTTATGGGTTTAACACCCCCCCACCCCTACCCCGTTAACACATTTCACAACACTTGACCGTACGCGCATGTGAATACAGTACGTCGTGTTCCCACTTAACGGATCGTCTCCACTTGACGAACGGGAATTGTTCTCGCAAGTCGGGGACTGTGCCCTGTACTGTACAACACAATGCGAATATATATCTGCGTGTGTGCGCGCGTATTTAAAGAATGTTGCATTAAGATGCCGTAGCAATCGTAGCGACGAACGAGCGTGTCGAGCCCGTGCACCGCTCTCCACTGCCATTGAGGCGCGTGACGGAAACAGCGGCGGGCGATGAGCGGCGGCGATTTAACGCCCCCCTCACCCCCCACCAAGCTCACAACCACCAATCACTCTGTTCACTCTTGCCACGCACAACCACCAATGTCTCTGTTCACTCTTGCCACGCACAACCACCAATGTCTCTGTTCACTCTTGCCACGCACAACCACCAATGTCTCTGTTCACTCTTGCCACGCACAACCACCAATCACTCTGGTCACTCTTGCCCCGCACAACCACCAATGTCTCTGTTCACTCTTGCCACGCACAACCACCAATCACTCTGTTCACTCTTGCCACGCACAACCACCAATGTCTCTGTTCACTCTTGCCACGCACAACCACCAATGTCTCTGTTCACTCTTGCCACGCACAACCACCAATGTCTCTGTTCACGCTTGCCACACACAACCACCAATGTCTCTGGTCACTCTTGCCACGCACAACCACCAATGTCTCTGTTCACTCTTGCCACGCACAACCACCAATGTCTCTGTTCACTCTTGCCACGCACAACCACCAATGTCTCTGTTCACTCTTGCCACGCACAACCACCAATGTCTCTGTTCACTCTTGCCACGCACAACCACCAATGTCTCTGTTCACTCTTGCCACGCACAACCACCAATGTCTCTGTTCACTCTTGCCACGCACAACCACCAATCTCTTCTTCTTCTGCTTCACCACCACCATCGCCTGCTTCCCTCTTCACCGTTTTCCCCCAAAACTGTCAACTATCATCTCTAAAGCCCGCACCCCACATCCTCTCCTCTCGACCCCATCCCCACCTCTCTCATAAACCCTCTTGTCCATCTTCTTCTGCCTTGTCTGGGCTCACTCTTTAACTCATCCCTTGCAACTGGCATTTTTCCTGCAAGCTTCAAATCAGCCGCTATTTTTCCGTTCTCAAAAAGCCCTCTCGACCCAACCTTCCCAGCCAACTGTCCCCCTATCTCCCTTCCCTATTGCTCTTAAGCTCCTCGAACGTCTCGTTCATGCTCGGCTCACTAATTTCACCTCTTCAAATTCTCTCCATAATTCCGATCGGGTTTCCACCGCTTACACGCAACCGGGACTGCCCTTATCGCTGTAAAGGACCGCCTGTATGTCAAACTCCACTCACGCCGGCCTTCAGTTCTTATTCTCCTCGATCTCGCTGCGGCCTTTGACACTCTCGATCATTCCACTCCCCTTCCCACCCCCTCTGGTCTCGGCATCTCCTCTTTCCTGGGTTCACTCAAACCGCACTTCTCGCACTTGGCCAGCCCTGATGCATCATTCCGCTTCCCCTGTTTCTCCGTCACTGGCGCTCTTCCCCACGGTTCGGCTCATGGCCTCCTGCTCTTCTCCCTCCACATCTCACCCCTTGAAGCCGTCATTTCATCACTGAGTTTTCCCCCACCACTTTCTCACAGACGACATCCAGATTTGATTTGCCCTCTTTCCCCTGGGGTCTCACTCTACGTATTGCTGAATGTCTCACTGCTGTCCAATCATGGATGACACTACATCACCTCTCCCTCAATCCCTCCAAGACTGAAATATTATTTTTTTCCTGCTTCCCGCTCCCCTCCCATCTGTCCCACTATGTAATTCCCCCCCCACCCTATTTTCACTCACTCCTGTATCCTTTGGTCTAAACCTTGGGGTCACCTTTGATTACCCCTCCCTCCTTCACCAAGCATATCTCCACCGTAACCCACATGTGCCGCTTTCATCCCTTCAACATCTTGAAAATTCGCCCCCCTCATCTCGCTCTCCGCTGCCAAAATACGCATCGACTCCCTCATCTTATCACTTCCCGACCACTCCAATTCCCTTCTTCATCTTCTTGGTCTTCCTGCCTACGCCTGTGCTCCCCTCCAGCAAACTCAAGACGCTTTGGCCCGGATTATTTTTAAACTTCCACATCACATCCCATTCTTCTGCTCTCCTCGTCCAACTCCACTGGCTTCCCGTCTCCTACCGCTGTTTATTCAAATTCCTCACCCTCGATTGCAAATGGCACCGTAGTTCTACCCCCACCCTATCTCGCTTCTCTAATTTCTTGCCATGTCCCACCTCGGCCCCAGCGTTGACACTTCCTGTGGTCCCTCACTGCTCCTCCCCTCCCTGTACACTCGCTCACGGTTCCGCTCGTCTTCTTCCCTCCTGGCTCCGCTCCAGTGGAATAAACTCCCGCAGGCAACTTCACTAAACCATTTTTCGTTCCGTAAGACCCCTCATTTTTCACTAGGGTATCCCTGTACAACTTCCTGAACCTCGTCCTTAACCCTAACCATCCTTCCCTCTCCTAACCTCACCCCTTTCCCGATCATCACCCTCCCTTGCCAGCCCTTCCCAACACTCAAACTCCATCCCTTTTCCCCATCGGCCAATACCAAAGTACCACACTGGTACTTATTGGCAGGCGCTTTGATGAAAGCGTCGTGATAACTCCTAGATGGGAAATTGTGTCACGCACCCAGAGAGTCGACTGATTCGCTTGCTCATTGGGAATTTCGGATACCTCAAGATGGGCAATTGGTTAAACTAATGTTGATGTTCATTACCCCTGCATCTGCATTTATTCCTCGGAACATTGTTGAGTGAGGCAAGGGTGAGGGGGGTGACTGTGCTCGGTTGAAACAAAATTCAACAAGGGGGGAGTGACAGTAGCCAGGCACACGTTGAGAATCGCCACTGCTCGAGTGGCGAGGCACACCAAGTACTCGCGTGCTATCTGTGGGAAGAAGTTAGTAAAAAAAAAAATTGACGTGTGAATTCTTACGCCGGGGATTTTTTTACTTTCCGTTAGCCGTAACGAGAATTCTTCGTCCCCAGATATTTCTCTCTCTCCCCCTTTTTGCCATATTCACACGTGGGATCGAGAGTCCGCGTGTGGGCCACCGCCGATCTGCCGTAACGTGCGCACGTGGTGGATGATGAACCCACGCTGGTGGCATTCGAGCGCCGGTTGCTCCACTCGCGGTGGTTGTGTCCAAGTCGACCGTCGCCTCGTCCGAAGAGATCTCAATCGGCGCGGGCGATAGCGGCTGCCGAGATGCGCCGTGTCAATGCCTGTACA